GTAGATACACATGCATACATATACATATATATATATATATTATATAACTATCTAAGATGGGCAAGGGACATCGCTTCTGCCGGAGAAAGGGGTGGTTCTCGATGGAATATGAAATATGGAATATGGAAACCAGGAGTGTTGCTACAGAGATCAGAGATATATATATAATTCATATAATTCATCCCGCCGACTGACTTCCCCCTCATCCTCATCACAAAAATCACATAGGGTATGAACCCAAGTCAGGGCAATAACCAAAGTAAGCACAACCCCCATTAGAATCCCCCCTCCCATCACCACGAGCCCGCTTTCTCCAGGAAGCGGAACTCCCCCTCGCGCACGCGCTCCAGGAACGAAACAAGCCCCAGCTGGCCCGCGAGCCGCCGCACGAGCTCCACCGCCCCACGCATCTCCGCTCCCGTGACCCCGAGATTCCTGCAGCCGAAGAAATGCCTATTTGTTTTGCATACCCCCCAGCGAAGCGCGTCAGTATATATATATATATATATATATATATAGAGAGAGAGAGAGAGAGAGAGAGAGAGAGAGATAGAGAGAGAGATCAAAGAAGAAAAATAAAAAAAATAAACCCACCCCTTCGCCTGCGCCCCCACCCCGTCCGCCAAACAGCACACAAACTCCAGCAGCACCGTCTCGCGCCCGTCCAGGATCCGCGTCTCGGCCATCAGCTCGCCGTAGATGCTCGACACCGCGAAGTAGCTCAGGTCGCCCGCCGAGCTTGCGCTCATCGACGCCAGCACCCGCTCTGCGTGCTTTGAGTAGATCTGCGTGAAGAAGCGCTTGCCGCGCGTGTAGCGCGCTTCGGCGCTCGGGAAGGTCGAGAGCGTGCGGAGCGGTTTGTCGGAGTGCAGGGTGCTGAGGACGGCGGGTTCCGTGGCCGGGCTGGTGGAGAGGGAGGATTGGAGGGCGAGGAGGGCGTTTATGCACTGTGTGTGAGTGTGAGTGTGAGTGAGAGAGACGGGTGTATTGATTGTTATTTTTATTTTATTTTATACTGTATTGTTACTTTTCGTTTGAGAGACAGAAAAAAATTCGACCAACCAAATATATATATATAGATATATATAAAAGATAAAAAAAACTTACACGAGGAAACCCAACCAGCACACTCGCTTTCAAGCAGCTCTCTCGTATTCGCCTGGCAATGCGGAGTTGTCTGTCCTGTGCATCAATGCCATCAACTTGGCCTTCGTCCGCGCAGCGTTGGCTGATATACTTCCACAGCTCGCCGACAGCCGCCTCCTTGTGGAATGCTAGCAGTGAAGCGGTCGCAACGACGTACCAGAGGGAATCTACGCCAGTGACGCTCTGGTCGGGTATAGCCGCGGAGAGGCGGTCGAAGTCAATGTGAGTGGAATTACGTGGTGCAGCATCAGGTTCTCGGCTCGTTTTATCATTAGTAGTGGTGTGATATGGTGAGGTTGGGAACGAGGACGAGGACGATGACGCGGGAGCCGAGGAGGGAGCGAAAATGGCTGCTGACGTCGAGTATGATCTCCTGAGAGGTGCCGCAACATCTTGCCCTGACCTAGACGACAGGTGAGGAGGAGGAGGAGGAGGAGGAGGAGGAGGGTGGCGGGCATTGCGTCCTGGTACCCTCGCTAATGGTGATTCCGATCTCGATATTCTCTGCCTCTCTGGCTCCGTACCGATACATAGTCCATCCGCAGCATCTCCTCGTCCCCTCGATCGCTCTTGGCTTGTGGCACATTTCCGGTACAGCGCCACAAGTCTCCGCAGATATTCGTGCATACCGAACTCCTCCCGAGGAGTGTGCAAACAACTATTTGTATGTATTGCCTCCACTGATCTCCTCTTTCTTACTCGTGGTCCGCCAATCTTGGAGGTGTTGTTGGTATTACTCTCGCTGGAAATAGGAGCAATAATAGCTCCTCTTCCCATCGTAGCAGCTTCAGCAGTTATACCGCTGTAGGGCCGTGCCGACGTATAAATAAGCCCAGGTACAGGCGGAAGCACATACGCATGTAGATATGAATGTACAGGTGACCCAGGCACAACAGGCCTAGTAGTGGACACAGTTTTCACAAGAATCGCGCCAGTCCGCCTCCTGCTGCTGCTGCGCGACAAAAGCCTTCCTCCTGCGGTCGGAGACGAAGAAGCCCGAACGAGAGGGGAGGGAAGCATCACAGAACAGGGCGGGCAATGAAACATATGCCGGCCGCATGTATGGTTTTTAAAATTGCGATTGTTGTCTGTCCCACGCGAGCCAGCCGGAGGAATCTGACCAAATGCCGAGAAAAAAAAGAAAAAAGGAGAAAAAATAGATAAAAAATAAAAATATAAAAACGGCGGGTTCACGGGTTCGCTAGCCCAATATCCTTATGGAAAATCAAGTAATCGGGGCGTGCGCAGTATCACCCAACAACTACTATCACATACACCCGCCGCAAAGAGACACCTCGGGCGGACTGAAGAAAAATTGTCAATTGAGACGGTGGAATGGAGGATGGATTGGAGACCGGACACGAAGCAAAGAGCGGAAAAAAATCGTCTTTGAGTTATTGCTGTGGCATGCGGAAACGGCGGAGGAGTATATGCAAAAAGACCACGCAGTAAGTTAACTAGTTCACCATATCATCATCCAACATCGAGGATAAGATGTTGAGTTAAGTTACATATATATATATAAACAAGCTAACTATGTATGCTGCAAGACAAACCGAGCAAACACGCCAAGCAGAGCCCGGCTGATCGGGGAGCGCTGAGCCGAGGCCGAACGGACGGGAAATATACGAAACGAGGGTGGAGGAGCGTGAGGCGTTGGTGTTTGTTGTTGTTGGGATCGCAGCAGGCGTTCTCGGGGTAATTCCTATTGGTGTATTGCTTCAGTTATGGCCAAAGTGAAGAAGATGGATATTGGTTGCCTATGTTCGGTGGAACTAGGTAAGGTTTGAAAATAGTTTGAAAATATGGTGAAGTCACGGATATATATAAGGGTATGTATGAGAGGAAAAAAAGAAAATCAAGAAATAAAAAAGTAGAAAAAAACAGATTCTAATGAGAAAACAAAAACTTATAATAAGAAAAAAGGAAAAAAAAGGAAGGAAGAAAGAAGACACTAAAATAAAATCTATCCTGATCTCATCATGCTTTATCTGGCCAGTAGGTCTTTATGATGTCCCTCTTATTCACCTTCCCCATTGCGTTCCGTTCGATATTATCCACGAGTTTCAACACGGTAGGCACCTTGTATGAGGCCATTTCTTCCTTCAGTCGAATACGTAGGGGCTTGAGTTCGAGCGCAGGAGTCTGGCCAATGGAGAGTGAAAAATTAGTCGGCTTAGCATCAATCATCCAATACATGGCCAGCGTGTGAAGGGGGGAGGAAGATGAGTGAGAAAGTAAGTAAGTAAGTAAGTAAGTAAGTAAGTAAGTAAGTAAGTAAGTAAGAAAGAAAGAAAGAAAGAAAGAAAGAAAGAAAGAAAAGAACGTACACCAGACCTCTGCTTAACCACAGCCGCCACCCGCTGACCCCATTCCTCATCCGCAAGCCCGACAACCACGACCTCCTGAATCTCGTCCAATGCCAGCATCTTCCTTTCCACTTCTAGTGCCGAGATCTTGTAACCACCAGACTTGATCAGATCAACTGACGCCCGGCCCTGGATATAATACGCCCCGTTCGAATCCCGCTTAGCAACATCGCCCGTCTTAAACCACCCATCCGCGGTAAACTCCTTCGCAGTAGCTTCCGGTCGTCTCCAATATTCCAGAAACACATTATCCCCTTTCACCTCAATCATGCCCGCCTCCTCCGTCTCCACCGCAACCACCTGCCCGGTTTCCTTATTAGTGAGCCGCACCTGCACGCCCGGCAGCGGCCACCCAACGCTGCCGTCAATTCTCGTCTTGATATCGAGCCCACAGCTAATCCCCATGCCGATCTCTGTCATGCCATACCGTTCCAGCAGCACCTGGCCCGTAATCTCCGCGAATTTCGTCTTGATGGGTGTGGGCAGGGCCGCCGAGCCACTGACAACCAGACGTAGGGCCTTCGTGCCCCTCCGTGCAACCGGCTCCAGCTCCGTCGACCGGATGTGCGCATCGAAGTAGTCCACAAGCCGCGAGTAGACGGTCGGCACGGCGAAGAACATCGTCGACGAGCCCCGATCGTACCACCGCCTCCAGACCACGGCGGGATCGAACTTGGGGTACATTTCCACTGTCGCGCCGGCGAGGAGCGTGGCCGTGAGCCCGTTGATGATCCCATGCACATGGTGCAAGGGGAGCACATGGATGAGGTGGTCTGCCGGGGTATATTCCCAGGCCTTGGCAAGGCACTCCGATTGGAATGTTATGTTTTTGTGGGTTGTGACGCAGCCTTTGGGGTTTGAGGTTGTTCCGGACGTATATATCATCAATGCGCGCCTGGATTGGGGGAGGGAAGCGTGGAACGGTGGTAGGGGCACTGGAGATTTCGTGCTGGCGACGAATGGGGTTAGATCAAAAAAGGGAATATCGGGACAAGCTTCTCGAATGGCGGTTTTCATATGGCTGAATGAGGGATGGAGGATGATCAACGAAGGATCCGAATCGGTAATGGTATATATGATTTCCTTCGCCGGATGGGTGGTGCCTGTTATGGTTAAACCGGTTAGCTTTTCCAACAAGTAACAAGTAACAAGTAAAAAACAAAAAAACAAAAAACAACAATTGAATATATCTCCTACACAATGGCACGCATACTCCGCCGGTAGCCCATACAGCCCACTGACAAACAACATAGTCGTATCCCGCGGGTGTCAAAAACGCAATGCGTCGCTCCTCCAAATCCCCTGCCAGCTCCAGCTTCAAGGACCCCAGAATCTGCATCTTAAGGCACGAAACGTCCGCCAGGAGCTGGGCATAGGTGAAGCTTTGGCCCTTGGCTGTGTCAATGATTGCGAGTTTGCCGGCATCTTTCTGAGCGTGGTTCCGCGCAGCTAGTAGGAGAGGAAGCGAAGGAATTGAGGTCGATTTGTCGTTGTTATTGCTGTTGTTCTTATAAGTATTATTATTACTATCGGTCTCAATATTACCAGATTGTTGCCATCGATTCCGTATGAATTGGAATGTGAAATATGGAATCGAGAGTGCCGCGGCCATCCAGAGAGTAATGAGAGCCCAGTTATGTTGACAGTCCCTGGAGGGACTGACCAACGACATTCTCGCCGTAGCTGTCGCTCTAGCAGCGGGTTTTTAAAGGAATCGGAGCTGGAGGCAAGGAGCTGACACCCAATTTCTCGAACTTTGACGTGCGTATACGCCGGGGGGCTGGGAGCTTGCTATGGAGTGACTGATGACGGAGGGATGGTGAAGGGGCTTGCCGGAGGGCGTTTTGGAGATCGAGCCCTGCGCGGCTGTATGGGGGTTGACTTTCAGACACGAGGATCCGCGTGCTAGGTCCTGGGATAGAATAGCGAGCCCCGATGCCAGGCCTCCGGTGTGGAGATAGATACCTTCATACAGTACATAGTACGTCTGTGAATTCTTATTCTTTTGTCATTGGGAGCATCGCCAAGCTCCACAACCTTGGCCCTGGTATTATATAACTAGCCCGAAGTGGCGCCTCGGCTGTCTCATCAAGCTTCGGTGGAACGGTAAGGGTTCCTGGGGAGGTTGGAATTGAAGCGGCTTTCGCTGCCCCCGGTGCTGAAGCACTACCAGCTCCGAGCAGCTCAGTTTTTAAGGGCCTTGGAATGGACGCTGATCGCCATGATCGTCCAACACTGGCCGGCCACCGACTCACCGCCGAAACCCTGGTCAACAGGGGGCAGCTGGCTTGGAAGCTATTCCCAACTATCCCCAACTATCCCCAACTCCCGCGCTGCGGTCAGCACCACACGCGCGCACCAATGTCAATCCTGCACTTTCGGGATGCGGGATGCGAGGGATGCGATGGATGCAGCAATGGAACATCAGGACCGCTATCGCCGTTTCCAGTGCTAACGGCGATGCGCTTTGGCTGTAATTGTAGCTCAGGCTTTATCTCATTCAAGGTCTTCGTCAAGGTATGGCAAACCGCTCTGGATACTCAACCCGCCCGCCTAATCCTTGGAGCAATCGCTTCTCATCATACGGGGGACATACTACGTGCATGTATGTATGTACCCCAGGATTGGATGTGATGGATTTGTTTTGCGCGGGGTCAATAGAACGCACCTGGCGCTTTGCCTGCGTTTACTGCAGTTCTTTTAAACAGTCGGTATACTTCTTCGGGCAGTGGCTTATTCGCATGCCAATCCGTTGAAATATTATCTATAAATATTTGCTGCAACTCCCAACCTTCTCGCTGATTGCGCTCGCCTTCTACTTTGCTTCCCGATTCTCGCCTGAAGTTGGTTGCTTTGGCTGCCCTGTTCTGGCCCTCTTCAGTTCAGTTTTCTCCTACATCAATAAACAACCCTCAACACCGTGATCCACTCTTTGAGATCCCGTGTCCTATCGCAGCTTGCAATGTTTATCTCGCTGCTGGTCAACTAAACCTAGCTTTTCACTCATCATGGCGATCACCAATTATGCCGAAAAGGACGCTGTTGTCTCCGCAGACATCAGCGAGGACAAAATGGCCCACAGCGAAGCAGTGCCCGAGAAGGACGTTGCTGTCAATCGCGACTATGCGGGTGCCGCTCCAAAGACTGATCCAGCGGAGATCCGTCTGGTCCGCAAGCTGGATTTTAGAATCATTGTCCGTATATTTCATCTTTCCCTCTTTTATTGTCGCTTTATGTTATTGTATGGTCCACCAGTGGGCAGCTAACCAACAGTTGTCCTTACAGCCAATGCTGGTCGTCATGTATTTTCTCAACTACATCGACCGTAACACTCTTGCCCAGGCACGCCTTGACAACCTCGAGAAGGAGCTGGGCATGGAGGGCGAATACCAATTCAACACGACCATTTCCATCCTCTTCGTCGGCTACGTCCTGATGCAGATTCCTAGCAATATGCTAATCACCCGGATTAGACCAAGCATCTATATGAGCTCGTGGATGATTATTTGGTCAATTGTGTCAGGTTCGTCGCGAATTGGAGAAAATTCTAATGTAAAAAGGAAGAAACTAGCGATTGGAATATTCCGATATGTTGTAACTGCGGGAAACGGAAAAAGCAGCTAACTCCCCATCCAGCTTGTACGTCCTTGGTCAAGTCCTATTCTGGCATGGTGGTGTGTCGTTTCTTGCTCGGGGTAACTGAAGCACCGGTGTGTACATACGACTTCCTCCCCTGCTCTTTGATTCTGGCGAGGCCAGACCACGTCTAATCATTTCATTGCGTAGTTCTATCCAGGCGCGACATATCTTCTGGCCATATTTTACACTCGAAAAGGTTCACTGGTCTTCTACTTTCCACCTATCAGGCGTTATGTATCTTTCATAAGCCATTGCCTAACGCACATGTTTCTATAACAGAGGTTGCAGCTCGAATTGCCGTTTTGTATTGTGCACAGATCCTTGCAACAGGATTTGCTGGTTTAATTGCTGCAGGAGTATTTAAGGATCTGGATGATGCAAGAGGCCTCTCTGGCTGGAGATGGTATGTGATCACATACATTATTTCTCGAGCACTGAAATAATCCAACTAAAAGAACCTCCCCCATCTACCCTCGCCTCCTAGGCTATTTATCATCGAAGGCTGCACGACCACTGCCGTAGCAATAGGAGGGTTCTGGTTTTTACCAGATACCCCAAGCACAACCCGCTGGCTCAACACCACCGAACGTGAACTCGCCCACGCCCGAATCGAACGGGATAAAATGGGTGAGGAATCGGCCAAGATCTCAGCCATGGAAGGCCTAAGGCAAGCAGTTAGGGACAAGCGCACATGGATCTTCTGCCTCATGCAAAACTTCCACCTGGCAGCCTGCTGTTTCAACAGCTTTTTCCCAACGTATGTAGCCAACCCCGACCCACCCCAATACAGGCAACACATCTGTTGAACGAAAGCCAACCCCTCACAAACCAGCGTCGTCAAAACCCTCGGTTTCCCCAAGACGGAAACCCTCCTCCTAACATGCCCGCCATTCATCTTCGCCGCCGCCGCCGCCATATTCATGGGCTGGAGCTCTGGGCGCCACCACGAGCGTACCTGGCACATCACCGGGGGTCTCAGTGTCGCAATAGTCGGATTCATAATCGCCTCGTCAACCCTCAACACGGCCGGGCGCTACGTCGCATGTTTCATCTTCCCAATCGGCGCATACTCGGTCAACTCCGTGATCATCGGCTGGGTGTCGTCGACGCTGTCGCAGACGCGCGAGAAGCGGGCCGTGGTGCTGGCGATGCATAACGTTGCGGGCCAGATTGGGTATATCTACGGCGCGTACGTGTGGCCGAATTATGACAGGCCGCGGTTTGCGATTGGGTTTGGGGTTTCGGCTGGGTTTGCGTTTGGGGCGATTGTGTGTGCGTGGTGGATGCGGACGTTGTTGAAGAGGGAGAATCGGAGGTTGAAGGAGGTGACCGGGGATATGATTGTTAATTACTACGGGTATTGATAAAAGGAAGAGAAAAAGAGATTGTTGGGATGGTTTTGTGCCTTTTTTTTTTTTTTTTTTTTTTTTTTTTTTTTCTTTCTTTCTTAAATCAATTTTCTGCCTAGTCTTTTCCTTCGTGCAGCGTTTCAATTTCAAATGAACTGGAATTTCTATTTCGTATTGAATATTTCATTGATCGGGCAGTAGTGATGACGTTGGATGGAGGGGGAAAAGGGAGGAGGTTAACTTTACATCAACCCCTCCAAGCACAAAAGCTGTATGGACGGGGCCGCAGGGGGAGGGAGGTTTGGACTTGATATCGCGACACTTCGGGCGACGGAGAGTATGAACAGCGCTTCTCTTATACAGCCACCATCATCAATGATCAAAGCTTGAACACAGTATGGCTGACATGTCTATCTCTCCATGAATAATCCCAATCTACACTAGCACTACCCATCCGGCGGCCTAAGTTAAGTATATGTTGGGCATGGTGGGACGTTGCCCCGGCGACGTAGAAGGAAGCCGAGGATTGCTGCCTTCATCTATCTCTTCCTTAAACTAACTATATAGAACGTAGTAGTCATGCTCCTTCTTCCAGATTGATTGAGGCCTTGGTTGGTTGGTTGGTTGGTTGTTTGATTGATTGATTTTATTTGATTAACTGTACAATTCAATTATCAAGACATACAATGACACAATCATCCATTGGGAACTCAGAAAATCCCATTCATAATAAATCTATCTCGTGTGCTCTCAGGGTTAAAGTAAGGTCCTGTTGCTGCTTTCACACTTGTCTATTTTGGGGACAGAGGGGCGTTATGTTGTCTTATTCATAGTATCATCTTGTTCTGTAATCACTTGGTCAAAGTCTTCTCAAAAGCCCAATCATGTAGATTTCATAAATTGTCCAACGCATTGAAAAAAATCCGCCCGTGCAGTTTCTCCAACCATATACGGCACTTTTTGACCTGTCTCCTTTCCCCTGTGCCGGACATGATCCTCGTTAATCATCGACAGGGGTAGGGATGGGTGAAGAATTTCTGGGGTTGGCGGGGGTGAGTTCATATATATTTGATTATTACTTGTATGGCCATGTCGTGCATGCATTGGGGTGTTTCCTTCTTTCGCTGTTTTGGTTCGTTGAAATCCATTATGGAGTGGGGTAGTGGGAGATGCGCGCATGGGTTATGGATATAAAAGGGTTGCAACGACCACTCTACGTGATGTGACGCAATGCGGCACAATCACAATGCGACGTGGTAAGGGTGATATAAACAGGGGAAATCTGTATCTGGTGCATAGTTCACATTTTTAGATTTTAGAATCCGGAGGAGCAAGTTGTCGACACAGGCCGTGGAGGAGAATCAAGTGATGGAGCAGTGGTTGAAGTCCCTGCGGATGCGTCCATATAAAATTGCATCGTATCCCGTTCCCAATTAATTCCTGATGTTTGGCCTTCCCCCTCCGCATATATCTCTATGAATGATAGTTCCGCCCCAATCGCTTTCCTCGTGGTTTCTTGATTATCCCAATCTTTCTCAATTGTAGCTGCCAAAACCCCGTAAAAAAAGTAATAGCATCCCTCCCAACAATGCATCTCATCACCTCCCTCCTCACGCTTACCGCTATTGCCACCCACGTCTCCGGGCATGGCCTCGTCAAGTCTCCCGCAGCCCGTGTTCCTGGTGATGCCGCTGCTGCTGTGTGCGGTCAAACCATGGTAGACTTCTACAAAGCAGACAACACCTCGTACCCTGAAGCTTTGGTTCGCGCCGGCGGGACCAAAGACCCTAAATATAATCCAAAACTCTGTAACCTGTGGCTATGCAGAGGGTACCAGTTCCAAGACAATGCCGATAATGTCTTTGAGTACAAGCCCGGCGATAAGGTCCCTATCGAGGTCTTTATCCGGGTCCCACACTTGGGATACGCGAACGTGAGCGTCGTGGACACGATGAAGAACGAGGTTGTGGGCGAACCACTGAAGGCTTGGAAGGAGTACGCTGATCCAGCGAAGTTTCCGAATCTGCCGGAGGATCAGGTGAAATTCAGTGTTACGGTGCCGGATCTGATGGGAAAGTGTGCGAAGCCTGGCCGATGTGTATGTTCTGCTATCAGTTTTCTTCACTCTGTTGCTGTTTCTCCAATGGGATTGGATGGCTGGTTGAAGGAATATGACTGCGTGATGCTAATCGATAAATGCGACTAGGTGATTCAATGGTATTGGCTGGGTCGTAGGCAGACCTATGAGTCCTGCATCGATTTCACACAGATGGCCCCGGAAGCTCCTAAGATCCGGGGTCGCTCGTAGAGGCTGTATATGCGGTTTACCACGCATTTTGATGGGTGGAGGATGTTTCTCATAACTTCCTGCCGGGATACTCCATTCGTTGACTTTTGTATGTAAGGAGTGATGTTGAAAAAAGCAGAGGTTTGCTTGAGATGGAGCGAGGGGGGGGCTCCATTCAGGGAGCTAATCGGGAAACAAGTGGCATAGTAAATGTAAGTATGTGATGGAATATGAAACGGAATGGAAAAGGGAACAATGTACTGTACATGGCATGTAGAAAAAAAGAACTGAGTTGTGACAAAAAAATGAAGATGTCCAAGTAAAATTGGTACAAGCGCGTTAATATAATTAACTACGCTGGACATTTCAGATCTTAACGTCATGGAAGCGTGCGTTGCGCATACGCACGGGAAGGAAGATCGACCATCAGTAGCTACAACAGCACTGTGACGAGGCGTAAATGCAGTAGGGGGAAAGTATAAAACGTGAATATAGAGAGTATCCTCAAGAGAAGCCCGGTGCATGACCCAAAACCCAAAGGAAAACAAAGCATACCGTCCATGATCCGATAATCAAAGGATCTCCAACTCCGCAAACTCCACAACCAGACCGTCGGGTCCTACTCCACCAGGCCCGTCATCTGCTGAACGATTACCTGTGCTACTTCCACCCCACACCATCCCCTTATCCCTACCCTTGGATGAATTGATTCCCATTCCTCGTCTTCCAAGCTGTACTACCCATCGAGGGTAGTTGGTACCAAACCCAGAGGGAATGGGCGATGGGCTCTGACTTGATACAGAGAGAATTGATGCTCGTGGGCTGATGCGGCATGGCGAGAGGAGAAAGACACCAGTCCGCGCTATCGGCCATCGCACTCACGGATGAGGCATCTACAGTTCCAGCAGAGAATTCGAGTCCAGCTTTTACCCATTCGCAGGGAGTGGTGTGGCAGTTGGGTGTGGATAAGGGTGAGGTGCTTGTGCTGCTTGATGTTGTCGAGGCGGCCGGTCAGTTTGACTGCTCGTAACTGTACGAGCATCACTCTCATTATTCGTGCGGTTCGTATGCGCATGTCGGTTGTTACTGTCATCGCTATTACGATTAGTAGTTGATGGCGATTGTGCTTGTCGCGGTGCTGGACCAAGCTGTGGAGCTTCCGTGAGATGCATAGCCCAACACGTAGCAAAAACATTCAATTCACACCATATGGATCAGGAGTACAAGTTCATGTACACTAAATGTCCTGAATCCCCACCTCCACTGTCTGGATCCTTTTATTGCGCCCTCTGCACTGCATTCTGGTTTCATGAATGGACCCGAATCCGGCATTGAAATTCCCATATAGGTCCAACGATGGTGCAAAAGCTCACTCCAACCCCCCCCCCCCCCCCATGTCGGAGGGATGAGGGAGAGGTGGTTTAGTACTGTGGTGACTTGCTCCGCAAAGAAGGTGCATTCGTCAGGTGACGGGTGCAAGAGGATCCGGATAGCATAAATGGTGATGCTAATTTTATATGCCGAAGCAAGGTGGTAGAGCGCATCCGAGTTTGAAAATGGAATGTTACTGTCCGTGGAATCATATGATTCAAGAACAGGAGTGCGCCAATGAGGTCCCCTTGATAAATGGTGGTCAGAGACCTGGTACTCCGTGCCAGTATACAGGGAAGAACAAATATCTCGCGTCCAACGTTCTGGGTCGAAAGAATTAATTTGAGATAAAATGGTGGAGATATTTACTCTCGGCGCGAGGGTTTGTGGTGAACTGGCTGTATGCCGTAGGGATGAAATGTAAAGGATTATGCGGAGCAGGGAACCCGGACAACCAAGCCAAACTTTTTTCTCAGTATCTGATAGAAGATTTGGTGATGTTATAAGATGTGATGATATCGGTTCAGACCAACTCCCGGACGGAGTGAGAGTGGAACCCATAATGTCGAAACTTTGACGACGAATCGAGTTAGTCAAAACACATCCCTCTCTATATGCTGATCAAGGACGAGAGGTATATAACTCAAGAAGAGGGCTAATGCCATTTATACGCACGTCAGACAGCTTCCTGCTAGGAACATATTAAAGCCGTCGTAGATTGCACGAGGCAATGGTGACGCCCCATCCGAGGCCTTCGCTAGCAGCGGGAAAATATGACTCTGGAGCAGCTTCTTAGCACCTTCGACATGGACTTTCCAAGTCCCGCGCCCTGACTCTACCATGTCAAGAACCATTAGGAGAAGCGCGGAAGCAATTGATGCATCTTCTCCTCGCGTCTTGGGATTTGACAAGGTTTGCTCCAGTTGACAAAGCGCTCGATGCTTTAGAACTAACAGATGCTGATAAGCAACTCGTACATTTGGATTAGGCGAGCGCACGAATTGTTCGCCATCCTCTAACAGCGATTCTTTGAATTTGCAGGAGCGCTCGACGGGCTGCGATTGGTCTGAATAGTGAAGGATGTGTAAATGGTGACATGCCCCGATTGCAGCCATTGCGGCGCACAAACCAGAGGAAACATTAACCAACTGAATAAGACGGCGATATGGGATTGTTGTGAGGAACTTCGAAGAGTACCATCAGTTTACAAAAATTGCGATCAACTGCCGCATCTGTCAGCAAAACTTGATTTGTGGAAAAGGTAACTCAACGGGCGGTACTTACAATAGGCGAGGTAGTGTCTTGATATTTTGTCCAAGCCTTGGAATAGCGGATCTATCAATGTCAGAGGGATGGACGGGTTGAATTCTCTTTCGCTTTCATTGCATCGACCGCTTGAGTTCCATTCAGGGAATGCCACCCCTGATCGTGGCCATTCTTCCACGACATTGGAGACGTCTAACGGTGACGACCACGAGCTAAAGCACCCGATGTTGCAGGGTAAGCCCAGAGACGCTTGGACTGAACCCAAGCCGCCAGAGGAGACAGAATCTGCAGGTTCGTTTCCCGCAGGCGGAACAACGCCATGCACTGGGTAACCTGGAGAGGGCTTCTTCGCTGTGACGTTGCCGAATGTCAAGCCCATCATCTTTCCCCGGCTGGCAATTCCCCGCACCCAAGTAATCGGTTTTGTATACCCCAAACATGCCTTCTGCGCTTTATCGCACTTTTGGCAAGTTGGAAGCAGCCGATCGCATGTCACCCGTCGGCGACGACAGGTATAACATGGACCCGCTGAAAATTTTTTGCTGCCGGTGGGAATTTGCTGCGGCGGGGTCTTGGAAGTTGTCGACCCCAAAGAGAGCATGCTCCTTTCCCCCAGATCAACTCCGCAATCGACATCATTCCCGCCCATCAAACCAGAATCACACTACCGCATATCAAATTAAGATCAATAGGGAAGGACTCGGGAGAATAGATCCAAAATCATTCACAAGGGACCCAGATCAATGATGGATGAAGTCAAGATATCTCGCCACTCGAATGATAACGACATCGGCCGACAAGGCCGAGTTAGGGCTTGCATCTTGGCTGCCTCCTTGGGCTTAGTGTCCCGGCGCCGTTGGTGGCTGAAGACCCTCGGCAATGGAAAAGGTAAAAAGGCTCTCGGCAAACTCACGCAAAAAGAGCCGCGCTTGGCATCAAACCTTACTTTAACCAGGCCAAACCCTCCGCTTGGCTCCCTTTCTCCGCCAAAACCGTGTGTTTGAAGAAAGTTATTGACCCACTCCTGAATAAAATTTGTGTGTTTTTTTGGTTGAACTTTTGTATATATAGACCTGCTCGGTATCTCGAATCAAAATGGAGGCTTCATCGGTCACTCAATCGTTTCGGTGTGTTTTCATGACATGCACCCAGTGTTACCCTCAGTTCTACGGTCATGCCGCCGACAGTTCCGGTACTTTCTCGCGTTCCAACTCATGGAGAGCGCGCTCGCTCTGCCACCGAACATCGAAATGATTCGCAGCCCCAGGTACATCCTACTCAGCAGGATGAGAAAACTTTGGCGGACCTGCATCGGACGTTAACTGAGTTCTCCGAGGGGAACCATCCCCAGTACGCTGAGCCACATTCAACCCTTGACAAATACTTAAGGGAACACGGTGTGAAAGTTGAAGCCGGCGAACCGCTTGGTCGACTCGGAGTGTGTTTCAAGAACTTGTCGACTTGGGGAATGCGGAACGAGCATGCGCAGGTGAAAACTTTAGCGCATGCGGTATGGCGGACATGTACCTTTCAAGACGTCTACGAGTGGACTGTCAAACGGTGGATTGCTCCTCCGCGGCTGCAAGATGGGAGACCCCTCATCAATGATTTTTCCGGGGTTGTTCGCAGTGGAGAGATTATGTTGTATGTAACTCCTAGCCGTGGCGCAGCCTTCAACAGAATTAAAGCATTGATGTTTCTCTCTCAAGGGTATTGGGGCGTCCAGGTGCGGGCTGTTCGACGTTTTTGCGAACAATAGCAAATCACCACTCCTCATTTTTAGGCGTGACTGGGTCGCTTGATTATTCCGGGCTCAAGCCGAAGGATATTTCGAAATATTTCAAGGGCGAGGTTGTATATATCCCGGAAGAAGATAATCACTTTCCCACTTTGACTGCGCGCCAGACATTGGAATTTGCTTTGGAAACCAAGACTCCAAAAAGATTAAGGCATAGAATCTCGGAGATGTTGGAGATATATGGTCGAGTTTTCGGCATATCTCACGCTATGGACACACTTGTTGGAAATGAATATATCCGCGGTATTTCCGGAGGTGAAAGGAAACGGCTGTCAATAGTCGAGTCTTTGGCCACTGATTCGGCCGTCGCTGCGTGGGACAATTCTACTAGGGGTTTGGATGCTGCCGCTGCAGTCGATTATGCTCGCAGCCTTCGAATCATGACGGATACCTGTGGCAAAGCGACTATCGTGACGCTCTACCAGGCATCTGACGCTGTTTACAGCTTTGCCGATCGGGTTATGATCATCGATGAAGGCCGTATGTTATACCAGGGGCCTGCGAACAAAGCCAAGTCATATTTCGAGAACTTGGGCTACAAGTGTCATCCTAGACAAACGATCACCGATTTCCTGACTGGTATAGCATCTGACCGAACGAGAGCTTTTCGGGATGGGTATGAGACACGCGCTCCAAAGGGCGCAGTTGAGTTGGAAAGAGCGTTCAAGGAAAGCGAATATTTCAAGATCATCCAGCAGGATATCCAGAATTACGAAGCGGAGCTTTCCCGAATGCATCAAACTTGCGAGTCCAGCAACGGTTTGGAGAGCTTCAGAACCATTTCTCGGCAGAAGAAATCCCGTTTCGTTTCTGCCAAGTCAGTTTACAACACTTCGCTGGTAAAACAAGTTACTCTTTGCACGAAGCGTCAGTGGTGGCTTCTTAAGGGATATCCTTCACATCTGTACATGAAACTCGCAAGCTCAATTGTCCTGGGGCTTTTGATATCGTCCCTATTTTACGACCTTCCAACGAATCTGCAGGGTGCTTTTTCCCGAGGAGGTCTCGTCTTTTATAGTATTCTCACCTTGCCATGGATACAACTAGCTGAACTCGAGGATTCTGTTCATGGTCGTGATATCATTAGCCGTCAGAAAAGATTCGCCTTTGTGAGACCAAGCGCGGTTGCGTTTGCTCGTACCCTGTTCGACTTCGTTACTGTCTTCGTAATGACGGCTGTATTCTCTATAATCGTTTATTTTATCGCAGGCTTGAAAATGGAGGCAAGTTCTTCTTAGATGCCCACTGAAACTCTCCTACCGAGAGTCTCACTTCACTGTGTTGCTAATACACAGTGTATATAGGCTGGAGCCTTTTTCATATTCTTCCTCATTTCATACCTACACACTATTTGCCATACTGCGCAATTCCGGTTATTTGCATCTTTCTCAAGTTTCGAAGTTGCTCTGCGATACTGTGGCGTGGCATTCCTAATGGCGATTACTTACGGTGGCTACCTTCTTCCGCTAAACCAACTCACTTCTCGAGTGCCTTGGGTTGGATGGATCGCGGTAGGGAGACCAAATGTATGCTTAGGCTTTTTTCACGCTAACCATGTTTCCTAGTATACCACACCCGCCCTCTATGCATTTGAGGCATGTATGGCCACCGAGTTTCATAACCTGCAGCTTTCATGCGAGCCAAGGTCGATTATCCCTTCAGGTCCTGATTACACAGATACAAGATACCAAACTTGTGCGGGCGCAGGGAGTTTACCAGGACATCTCAAAATCGGTGGTGACGCATACCTAGCCGAAAAATATGGTTTTTATTATCATAACGTGTGGAGGGACTTTGGTATTTTAATTTTGTTTATCGTAGCGTATACCGCTAGTAACGCCTGGCTTTGCGAGACCATTGAATGGGATGATGGCTCTGCTGGTGCCGTTTCATTCAACCGGAAGAGGAAATCTCCATTCAGTGCTGCAGCTAGTGATGAGGAAAATAGGGCATTCGATGTCGACCACAAAGCTTCTCCGGCGACGACAAACGTGGACATTGCTGGCACCCCCTCCGAGCAAATTGCAACGACGCAATCAGCATTCGCATGGCGAAATTTGACATACACTATCCGTCAAGGTGACTCGGACCGGGTTCTATTAAATGACGTTTCTGGATATTGCCAACCTGGGACGCTGACTGCATTAGTCGGCTCATCTGGTGCTGGTAAATCAACATGTAGGTTGATCTACTCAGCCACTGGTAATTAGTTCCAAATGGGTAATTGACGCTTTTCCTAGTGCTAACCACACTTACTCAACGCCAGAACACTGGCACGGTAACTGGCGATATAATGATTAATGGTCAAACTCCAGATGTCAGCTTTCGTCGAAAAATTGGGTATTGCCAACAGATGGACATTCATGATAAAACAAGTACCATCCGGGAAGCGTTCGAATTTTCGGCATTACTCCGTCAGGGAGCTGACATATCACGCAAGGAAAAACTTGCTTATGTGGACATTATACTGCATATTCTGGAACTTACAGAGTTGCAAGATGCGGTAATAGGCTCTCTTCCGATAGAGCAAAAAAGGAGGACGACGATTGGTGTTGAGCTTTGCGCCAAACCAAGCCATCTCCTGTTTTTAGATGAACCTACCAGCGTACGTCGTTGCCCTTCCCTTTCCTTCCCTATCATCTTGTACGTTGAAAATAACACTCGTCAGCAATAGGGTCTCGATAGCGAAGGTGCCTTCAGCATCGTTGTATTGTTAAGGAAACTGGCGGATGCAGGCCTTGCCATTTTGTGTACTATCCACCAAGCAAGTCATCAACAAATCGAAGTTGTGCGTAGTCGCTTCCTATTCTCTGATACCCTTGGACTTTAGCTAAACGTAATTACAGTTCGATCGAGTTCTAGCTCTCAACCCCGGAGGCAATGTCTTTTACTTCGGTGAAGTCGGGCCATCCGGGAAAACTATTTGCGATTATTTTGGGCGTCATGGTGTTTTCATTGAAGATGAAAAGAATGTTGCTGATCTGCTAATTGAGGTTGGTGTCGGAATATGTAAAGTGAAAGGGAAACAATTGGACTGGAATGAGATATGGAAACACTCACCTGAGGCATCCAAAGTGCAGGAAGAAGCCGATATCATTTGCAGCCGCGAAAATGGTGAGCATGTTATCGATCAAATAAGGGATAAGGATGAATTTGCCTCCCCGACATGGGAACAAATTGTTGAACTCACTAAGCGCACGAGTCGGCATTACTGGCGTTCACCCGAGTACCCATATTCGAGACTCTATGCATCAGCCATCCACGCTTTGCTCAACGGCCTCACCTACCTCCAGATCGGAAACAGCGAGACAGATATGCAATCGCGAGCTTTTTCCTGTTTCTTGATTCTTATGCTTGTCCCTGAATTTGTTAATGGAACATCAATGAAATTCACTGAGAATCGGGACATGTGGGAAGAACGCGAATATCCCAGCAGAATATATGGATGGATCAGTTTCACAACCGCCCAAATCCTATCTGAGCTACCATACGCACTTGCTGGGGGTGCCATTTTTTATCTCCTTTTCTATTACGCTGTGGGACTCCCTCTCGGTGTTCCTGCCGGATATACATTTCTTATGGTCCTCTTTTTCCACCTTTTCTCAACATCCTGGGGACAATGGATTGCTGCAATGAGGTACGTACTCCCAATTCATAACAAATAAAATTATAAAATACATACCGGGGAAAAAGTCACGCTAACGAGCCTCCTCCAGCTCTGACGCTGTCATGGCTGCCAACCTCATGCCGTTTTTCCTTATCATGTGCGAGTTGTTCAATGGCGTGCTACATCCTAAGGAGGAAATGTCAGTTTTCTGGGCTTACACCATGTATTACTTGGCGCCATTTACATATTGGATTGGGGGAATTCTTTCGATGATCATGAAGGTGCCAAAGTTACCTGCACTGCGAGCGAGTGATTACTTTTCACGCTCCCCAAACCAACTTGCGACAGTATGCGGGCTCGTGGATTTCTTCGCTATGGGTACCTGCCAAATCCTGATGATATGGGAAACTGCAGTATTGGTCTTACAATA